AAAGTCATTATTTAGTATGCCATAGTATTTAAATGTGCATTATTATAAAGAAACATGTCATAAAACACTTCACAAGAAGAAGCAATAGGTCCTTTTCTCTCTGCAGAATCCCAAAACAAGTATGATTCTGTAAGGCTAAGGCCTAACGAATCTGAGACTTCAAGCTTTCAGGTTGTGGGTAACAAGACTGTTATCCTCCTGTGCTGTAGTGAAGGTTAAGAAGGAAGGGGTACTGTACGAACTCAGATGTTAGTGAACACGTATTGCTCCAATTGAGAGCTTGTTAATGCATCTTTTTTCACATAACTTAGTGGTGACTGGCGATGGCAACATAAGGAAAAATAGATTCATGTTGCCATCACTAGGATGCTACATGATACGGTGACATAGTCAGAGGGATTTAGGGGCAAAGTATTGTCCAGCCAACTAATGACACTCAGTGTCCTGCCAAGTTCCCAGCCAGGTAGCCAATACAAACTTTGACTTTGAAGGATTTCAGGAAGTGAGGCCTCTTCATGAGGCCTGTAGCTCCCATACGTAGTTTTGTTTTGAATAGGCCATGTGTTTATCTCAGTCCGGACTTGCGTCTACGTTGAAAATCAGTGGGCTTGAAATATGACCTCTTCAGTTAACAGCGTCGCCATTCCAGTTCATACCACTTCTCGCACCAAAACTGATCCAGACTTGATTTAAACGAATTCAAGGACGGCGCAGTCACCACATCTTGCGGTAAGCTATTCCAGTCGTCAATTGCTCTAACTCCCAGATGATGACGTCTCACTGTTTTGACAGCTAAGGGTTTCCTGAGTCGCAGCTGGTGTCCCCTGGTGCGATGCTCTCCTGCTACGGGCTCAAACAATGGGTCCATCTGCATTTTGCCAGTCATGATTTTATACATAGTGAGCATGTCACCTCTTTTTCTCCTGTAGACCAGACTTGGCAAGTTCAACTTCTTAAGTCTGTCCTGGTATGACAGTTGGCGTATTTCTGGAACGAGTCGGGTTGCACGTCTTTGAATTCTTTCAATTTTCTTCTGATCACCGATGTACGTGGGGCCCCAAACGATATTTCCGTATTCAATTATCGGCCGAACTAGGGCTTTATACAGCATGGACATTGCTTTTGAGTTAAGAAAATCAAAGGATTTCCGAATCAGCCCCAGAATCGCATTTGCCTTCTTCATTGCTACTGCCGTCTGATCGTGAAAGGCAAGTTTTTCGTCAACTACGACTCCAAGATCCCTTTCATTGGTGACGCCGTCGATCATGTTCCCTGCTATGTGATATGTGTGCCTTGGATTTCGGTGGCCGAGGTGCAGAGTATGACACTTGTTTGTGTTTAGAGGCAGCTGCCATATAGATGTCCACTTCACAATAGCATCGATATCACTCTGCAGTGCCTCAATATTTTCTTGTGATGTCACATCTCCGTATACCTTGGTATCGTCTGCAAATAACTTCAGTGGTTTTGATACGACAGACGGGATATCGTTGACAAAGATAAGGAAACACAGAGGCCCCAGCACTGAACCTTGTGGGATTCCACTATCCACGCTTTTCCACCCTGATAGTTCACCGTCAACATTGACCCGCTGTCGCCTCCCTTTCAAAAAGTCTGACATCCACACATGTAGCTTCCCTCTGATTCCATAAGCTGCTAGCTTTTTCAAAAGTCGTTCGTGAGGCACGGTATCAAGTGCCTTTCTGAAATCTAGATACACTACATCAACTGGTTTCCCTTGTTCCAACATATTCGTCCAGTCTTCCATGCATGTAAGAAGTTGCGCCTCACACGACTTCTTTGGAAGAAATCCGTACTGGGAGTCTGTCAGTAATCGATTCCCAAGCAGGTGTTCTAGTACAGCATCTCTGATCAGTGACTCCATGATCTTTCCTGGAACGGACGTGAGACTAATCGGTCGATAATTACCGGGGTCTCTGCGACTTCCTTTTTTAAAAATTGGTGTAACAATTGCTTCTTTCCATTGTTTTGGCAGTATTCCACTTTCCAGGGACTTTCGGAAGATCAGGCTAAGTGGCAAGCTGAGAGAACTCGAGAGTTCCTTCAAGACGCGTGGGTGAAACATGTCAGGTCCTGGAGACTTGCTTGGATTTAGCGACACCAGTTTCGTTGCCACAGCTGCTGGGGTTATGATTATGTCTTCAATTGGTTCTCCTTCGTAAACTTCACCAATTTGCGGCATCGTCTCGAGATTTTCTTTCGTGAATACGCTTGAAAAGAACTTATTTAGCACCTCGGCTTTCTCTCTGTCAGTTTCTGCGATCGTTCCATCTCCCCGGTTCAAGCTCTCCACTGTCACTCGGGTCTTCGTCTTAGTCTTCACGTATGCCCAGAAGGCTTTTGGCTTCTCTTTTATCTGCGAAACCAGATTGTTTTCAAACTGCTTCTTCAGCTTTCTGGACAGTGCTCTAAGAGCATTCCTAGTCTTTCTATAAGTGGCAAAGTGTTGCGGCTGGCCTGTGAGTAAATACAACCAATACAAGTAAATAAAAACAACCTCTAATTAGTTGAAATGTGTTGAGAGGTTTCACAGATCAGCATAAAAAGCCTGAATGTAACACCAGCACACCCCTTTGTGAGCATCACTAAGAGTGTGAAAGAAAAGAAAATGGGACACAGTAGGTAGGTACAAAAAGCACTTGGTTCATTACACAGAACTTGGTCCATTACACAGAACAATTAATACAGATATAATCAAGGTCAATTATAAGAAAGCTTTTTTTCAAACTCAATCACTGAGTCATGATAAACTGACATTAAATTGGCAGTATTCCAGTAACCTGTCAAACATGAATTGTTTGAAACTCTTACCTTGCTAGCATTGATGTTAAAATTCTTCCCAGAGCCATACTCATCAGAGGTGCAGGGTGATGCATTGAAACCTTGTTTTACACTGACTGAGGTCAGTTCATCCTGAAAAAAGTTGATTCAATGTCATCTATATGAGTCACCAACAGTCAGTCTAATTTGTAACCTTCCTATGATTTAGTACCTTTCACAATGCCAAATAACATCTGCAAATCTGAAGAGGCAAAGAAAGCTGATGAACCACATTTTTGGCAGACAAGAATTAGGGCATGTCAATGAGAATTTTGTCACTATCTTATCTCAAATCCATATAACCACTGTCATGTTGTGAATTTTAAGCAGGTTTCCCTTATAATTTAAAATTAAACTGTATGCATTTTCTAGTACCCAAAGCTAAGGACACTGCTAAGCTAATGTTGTTACAAAGTATTGAAAATAACTTATCAAAGCTATTCAGGCTATTCGTCTCTCTAGAATAACTACACACCTCTTTTTGGTTTGGAACTTGAGGATATACATCTGGCGGTCCCAATCTTGATTTTCGCAGAGGTTTATCTTCACAGTTTACAACAAATGCCATCTTTTTAGCAAATGCTCAGTGATATTCTGAAAAACAGCTTGCTTCAGAATCATTGGTTACAGCCTACAAGCAATGCACAGAGAATACAAGCACTCTTCTAGTGATATAAATTGTATCTTATAATGAATCTTATAAAGAATGCACCTGCCACAAAACATATACACAATACCTCTAAAGTAGGTGAGCACCCTATAGGTAGAGCCATATGTACCATTCTTATTTCTAGTCATATTGATGATAACCAAGATTCAAAAGCAAGTCCAGACTCACTCCTCTTGGGTAGTAGCAAAGCAGGCATCACAGTTTTGTTTTTGCAGCCATGGAAAGGCACTTTACCTGGATGCTTCTTTCTAGTCATACCAAACCAAATGAAAACAAGCCTTACCTAACCTGGCCCAACCTAACCTACAACCTATAGCCTAAAACATACAGCCCTAAAACATATTTGTAGGCTGTACACCATATTTGTAGGTGGTAGGTTACAGGTTTCATTATAGGTTGTAGGTTAGGTTAGGCCAGGTTAGGTTTGGTTAGGAAGCATTTCAATCTCCAGGCATGGCACAGAATATCTCTCCTTGGTTGCGAAAACGAAGCATGAAAGGTGACGCCTGCTTTACTGCTACCTTCCTTTCACATTCACTAGGTTGAATTACCTAATTTACTCAAGTTACAAAGCCTATTTGCTTCAAATTATCCAAAGATTGCACATGAATATCATGCTTGAACAAAAACAAGTGTGTACAGAAAACTCATAGCCCATAGGCCTAACAAAAACAAACAAGTCAGATGAAGCACCATACCCATCCGACCAGTCAGCTGCTAACCAAAGGCTTTCTATAGGTACTATTGCATAACTTACACGCTGTTGCAAGCGGCGGGCAAGTGTGAGCGTGGGAATAATAAGACCGCCTGCCTTGCCGGTTGCCCCGTGCCCGGGACTCGGGTCTCGGACCCAAGTTGCTGGGGGCGAGGATCTTATCCTCGATCTTATCTCTAAGCCAGAACGCTTCCCCAAATCAAAATGACATGTCACATTTAAGCCAACTTTTGATAGATTTAGAAATTCAAGCACACTTCCCCCAAAAGCCTACGACTGTGTTGTTTACTAAGCGGCTTCAGGACATCAAAGTGGCGCAGCATCTGCGCCATTTAATGGAAAGTTTTGTAGTATTTGACGCCAATATCTATTTTTGTGTATCAAATTGACATATTTCTTAATATTAATGCTCAAACCTAATTATTCTTTGTACATCTATTATAGTTTATTGGCTGATAGCACAAAATATCGAAAATCATTTACATCTTTCACCATGACGTCAAAACATCATTTCCTATCAGCTGATCTCAAGGACTTGATTTCCAGATTGGTACTATAAAGTTCAACTAAATACTCAACAAGTAAATTCCTTTGGTATGGTAATTTTGCCTTATTGTAAACTTTTTTCGTTTGAAACAGTAATTTCTTACAATATTTAGCAAATTCTTGGAAATATTCCTTTCAATTAAAAAATCATCCAAAAAATGTTTCAGCAATCTGGTATGAAATACAGTATAAGAAAATTATCAACTATTCCTTGAACGTGGCTATCTGGCAAATGATCTGATTCAAGGGATTATTATTCGTAGTTTTTCGCCCTGTGTTTGTTTTTGGGTGTGTTCTTCCCGAAATTATCGCCCTGTATTATCGCCGGTTATCGTGGAAAGAAAAACTTGGAGCTTGGGACAACGCGCACTTACTCTTCATCCCTCTGAAACATTTGATACATCTTGATCTGTGTTCAACTTTGTCTTAGTAGTTGCTGCTCAAACTGGGACTGTCAATTAAGAGTGTTCCTTCGATCGGTTTTCATACTAATACCAATACCAATACCGAGTCGAGGAACAGAGGAGTGAGGTCGTATTTGTGGTCAATTGGAGTGTTTTGGAGCTGTTCATTTGTAAATATTTAAGAATCAAAGGTGCTTTGAAAACACCTTTTTCATATACTCAAAATGTCCACGTCTGGAGACTTCGGAAACCCCTTGCGTAAATTCAAACTTGTCTTCTTGGGAGAGCAAAGTGGTGAGTGACTGGGTACTTGTTATTTTCCTTTATATTTGTCAAATACTTCTATGTTATTCATTCAATGTAGTTATCCATTTCTCATTTTGCTAGTAATTAGCTATGGCTTTTAGGTAATTGCCGGCACAGGCCATTTTGCATCCTTTGATGGCACAAGGGGGTTGGTGCGACCCCCCCCCCCCTTGCGTTTGGCCCCTGATTGAGCTAGAGCTTTGCGGAAAAAAACGAGTGCATTGCTTGTGATGAGAGGATGCCGATGATACCCAATTTTAAGGTCCTAGGTCATCAGTTGACCTTCCAGGTCAGATCAAGGACCCAAAAGTCGGGGAAAATCAGGCCATGTTACAACATAATAAAGTGTGGCTGCTATGGGGTTTTCGAGGCACTGATCAGAAACACCATGTTAGTTTTGATCATAGATGATGTCTTCCTGCTTTTAGGCCAGGTTGGGTCAGGTCAGATCAGGTCAACCAGCAGCGAGGCTGGGTCTTTGTAACGTTCAACTGCTTTTGATAGCTTCGTTACATGTTACAAACTACAAAGGCACCAAAACTACTTTGTAAATGTTCAAATGGTTGCTAAATTTGAATTCAGCACCAAAAACTAGCCTAGAAACATGTAAAACTGGAAAAAGTGGACCAAGGTCATCAAAGGTCAGTGACCTGACCTGACCTTTTGGTGACCTTGACACCCACCCTAATGCATGGGACCAACAGCATAACACATGTTTGAATGCTTGAAACCACGAAAAGACTGCAAACATGAGGTTAATGTGGGCCGACATATGCCGAATCGCAATGCCGGCCAAACATGGTCTCGAGAAATGGGTCACAGGTCAAACGTCATTTGGGTCAGGGTCATGAAATTTTCAGGGTAGGTGTTAAGTTTATTAACTCGAGGGTACTGAAAGTTTCGTCGCGATCGGCCGCTCTTTACGCGAGTTATTTTCGAAAAATCTTAGGGGGTCGCATCACTCCCCCCCCCCTGTGCCGGCGAGGGTTAACAAGATATCAGAAAAATAATGCAGATAGTTGAGTGAGCAATGCATCATTAATGTTTTGTGCTTTTGTTTTTTCATGTATGTTATGAAAATACAGGGGAAATCACCATTCACAATCAATGAAGGCAAGCATATCAATGGCTATTTTTTTGTTTCAGTCGGGAAGACTTCACTCATCACCAGGTTCATGTATGACAGCTTTGACAATACATACCAGGTAATTAGAGCATTTGTACTTGAATATTTGTTCACCTATGCAGTGGCGGATCCAGGGGGCCACGGGGGTCATGGCCCTTGGGCCTCCCGGGGGTACCATCACGGAGGTTTTTTTTAATTCATCACGAAGGTCACCGACGGGAGCTGCAACCCAGAGGTCTCCTAAGGGGGCACCCTCCAGAAGTTCAATAGGAATAGGGTGCCGTTTTCGGGGTCTCCCGGAGACCCATTTCTGTCCCTCGCCTCGGGTGGAGCTATTTCCATCTCGAGATCCGCGGGGACACCATCTCGAGTTCTCCGGGGGCACTATCCCGAGTTCTCCGTGGGCACCATCCCAAGGTCGGAGGGGGCACCATCTCGAGGGTCCGGGGGCACCATCCCGAGGTCTTTGGTGGCACCATCGCGAGGTCTGGGACCTGGTTGCACCATCGCGAGGCCTGGGGGCACCATCCCGAAGTATCCGGGGGCACCATCCCGAAGTCTGTTCCAGGGGGTACCAAATGCCAGGGGGCACCACAATACCGTATGCCCCCCCCCCTGACGAAATCCTGGATCCGCCACTGCGCCTATGTCATTGTTTCCATATAAAATGTAAATGTCCAAATATATCTTTGCATTGTGTCTCATTAGTGATGATCCAATGTGTTAACTCCATTCATGTGCAACATTATGAGAAAAGTATAGGAACGTCATTTATGAGTTTGTACGTATTTTCCATGATCACACCCTAAAAGCTAGAACAGACCTTTTATAAATGTAGGACATTCATTCATATTCAACTCACGACCTGTGCCTTATCATTCCAGGCCACCATTGGCATTGATTTCCTGTCGAAAACAATGTACTTGGAGGACAGGACGGTAAGCTGCTGCATTTTATGCATTTTATTTCCAACTTCTTAATGAAGCAGATGCTAATGTTAGTATGCTGAAAACATAACTAACATATTACCAATTTCAGCACTAATAAAATTCTGATTCCTTTTGCATTTGTGTGGGGAAAGTAGCACTGTTTCTCACTGGTTCGGCCCTCCAGGTATTAAGTGGTTGGTTGTCAACATCACAATAATCGATATACATTGATGAATACGTCTAATGGCTGTTGAAAACCGCTGCCGAAATGTGTGCACGAACCCTCTTCTCATTTCTATTGAGTCATTTTACAGGAGTGTCTCTGTCATCCAAAGTTATTACACCAAAAGCACATGGGCTAACCAACCACTCGTTGGTGGAGGGCCGCACGTGCACGTTGGTTGGGTGTGTGCTGACTGCGCGCCGACTGTGGCTGCCAGGTGCGACTCCAGCTGTGGGACACGGCCGGCCAGGAGCGGTTCCGCAGCCTCATCCCGTCGTACATCCGCGACTCCACCGTGGCCGTCGTCGTGTACGACATTACCAGTGAGTGGCCCGAGGAGGTGTCCGAGATGGGTCGGCAACCGTCGGGGCCAGACGCTGAGCGCCGGAGAACGGCGAGGCCTTTGTCCCGCGACCGTTCCCGACTGTCATGTGTATAATTCCTCGTCATTTCGCTAGTGTGGTCTGTGTCATACCACCATCCTTGTCAGGCTTCTTTCCGAGTCTGGAATTTGATCGCCAATCCAGTCCAATCCAGTCCAACCTCCCCACCTCTGATCATGTGAGGAATCTCGCTAGTTTGGAATCCGACGTCGGTTCAGTTCTGTATCGCTCCACCAGTCTTGCACGATATATTATTTACGATATGTACAATATTTATCTCCGGTCCGCGTAAGGCAGCTGCCTCATGAGTTTAGTACGGCACCTCCGTCACGGTCAGTCCAATCCCCTCACCTGCTATCTTACTGTACGTTGTCTCTCCTGTGTGATGTCTCCCATCGGTCTTGTTCAGTATATCTTTGCAGACGCGTGGTACGGTATTTTCCCATTGTTAGTTAGATACGTTATCTGCCTCAATTACATTACGATCTCTTCCCATTCAGTCCGGTGCGGAATACGACATCTTTTCCGTCCCATTTGGTATCTCACTCTAATCCGGTACTGTTCTTCCCACCAGTCCAGCGCGATATATCCCACTCATCAGTCCAGTCCGCTATCTCTCCGCCGACCAAGTCCAATCAACCATCTCCCCGCCAGTCCAGCCCAGTCCACCATCTCTCCATCATCCAGTCCAGTCAACTATATCCCCCACAGACCCAGTCTGTCCAGTCCACTCCTCATCATCCAGTCCAGTCCAGTCCACCGTTTCGCCGCCGGTCGAGTCCAGTGCCGCGCGGCCCCGCCCCTCGCTGGCTGGCGCTGGGCTGCCGTTGAACGGCACACGTCGCGACACAATCGATACTGCCCGCCGACCCGGGGCCGGGCGCCGTCGGTATGTTCCAACTTCCAACCACAGCCGGCCGGGGGTCCGTCTGCGGCCCACTGTCTCCCGCCACGGACACCCGCAGGTATCGGGTGGCTGTCTCAGAGTCGGGCTGTTACCAATTGTCACCGGCTTCTGATAGCAATCAGTGACAGGTGTAGTCGCGAAGAAATCGGTACAGGAGAAATGCTTGAAATGAAGAAACGAAGAAATGCTTGCAATTTGCATAACGTTGCAATGTTCGCTACTGATTGTATTGTGCGCACGGGTTCAAGTTTCTTTCTTATTTTTGTCCGTGAAAGTTTATTTTTAGACTTTTGGAAAATCAGGATGGTGTTTTCGATATAGGTGGTTTTGCACGCAAAAAGAATGAGATAATAAATGGACTGTTAGTTTCACTCGAAAATTATGACATTCTTCGAATGCAACTGTATTTATCGTCGTACAAAACAAATTAAAAACAGTTCGATTTACTTCATCGCAAACGACAGGTCGATTTTTGTTCCGTTCTTGCATCGCACGTTTCGTCATACCGTCACCTTAGTAGCGTACTACCAAGCCCAAACTCGCTGTGCAAACCAGGCATTCAACATGCACCCAGTACACGTTCATTCAACAGCTGTTCACCTCGGCTCGGCGGGGCGCTCTGAAACCGCGGCCGGTTCGGGATCGATGCTGGTCTTCCCGGTGGACCCACTCCCTATGGAGATTGATCGTGGCCGTCTGACTGCTCCCCTCCTCTCCCTCCCTCCCCCTCCTCCCCTCCCCGTGACCAGGTCAGCCGGACGCAGGGGAGGCCAGATTCACGAACTCCAGGCTCTCGTGCGACCCTCCCCCGCCCCCTCCCCGTTCAGACCGGGCGGCGCCGTAACACCCACCCCGCCCGCCCCTTCACAGACGCCAACTCGTTCCACCAGACCTCCAAGTGGATTGATGACGTCAGAACCGAGCGGGGTAGTGACGTCATCATCATGCTGGTCGGCAATAAGACGGACTTGTCGGACAAGCGACAGGTGAGCGCCGGCCACCCGCTGGGTCCGCTGTGTTTCCGGCGGAAGTTAGCGGTCACGGGAGTGAGGAAGGGGACGGGCGACTGGTCCATGAGGGCGGGGTGGTGAATGGTGTCAAGTGTCTGCCGGGAGTGTGCGTGACTGGGAATGTGATCGGCTTGATGGTGCACAGTGCAACAAAAACATGCGAATCATGAACTGCTGAATTAAATACCAGTAAAACGCCTTTTGGGCGAAGAACGAGCGAGCGAGATAGTGAGCCATGCACGTGCAGAAGGGCGAGAGGGTGCTTCCAACGGGCTTGCGCAAGGCACCCTTCAAACCGGTCGCTAGCGGTGTGCCAAATTTGAACGCAATCGGCCCAGCCGTTCCTGAGATCTGGAAGCGGCATTCTGCACGTGCGCACGTGCAAACGGGGTCCAAAATGACTTTTGCACGGCACCCTACTAACTGATCCCCAACCGTGTACCAAATTTGAGCGCAATCGGCTCAGCCGTTCTCGAGATCTGGAAACGCCCCCTTCACGTGCGCACGTGCAGTAGCACCCTAACCGCAACACATGGGAATGCATTGCTTGGTGGGTACCTACCTGTATGCCAAGTTTCAGCGAAATCGCCCCAGTAATTACCGAGTTACTGAAATGGGAACAAATTTGGCACCTCTTATTGTTGTATTTTGCACGTGCACTGGGGGTGACCCACATGCATCGAGACTATCCTATTTTGGGTAGAAGGGATGCTGCTACCCTACAAAAATTACCGCAAGTCAATCGCCCAAGCGGCTGCTGAGATATGAACCTCTCAAAATCACTACTTTTGCAAAACAGCTTGAACACCCTTGACTTTTCACGTGGCACGTGCCACGACGGTCACTGAGATGTATCAAAAGTAGTCAATTACGGGGTAGAAGGGATGGGGCTACCCAACAAAAAAGACCGCAGGCCAATCGGTCCAGCGGTTGCTGAGATATAAGCCTCTCAAAAGCGTTACAGGCCGGGCCGGGCCGGGCCGGGCCGCTCATACTGAGATTTTTCCGTTATATTGAAAAGACTCACTTCGCTCGCTGCGCTCGCTCGCTCGTAATTATGCATGGCCTTTTAACTCTAATAGTATGGAGTCTGGTCTGGCTTGAATTCAGTCATAGGTAAACAATAAGCATTGCACTACATACGGTGCGTTGTGATGCGTCTTCGACAACTTTTTTATAGCTCTTTTTTTATTTTTGCTCTTTTAGAATCTTTATTTAAATTCAGATATCTCTGCACGCAAAGCGGGAATATCGAACCTGGAAATAGACCATCGATTATCTAATTTTTGTGGTTTTCTGTTTTTCTAAAGCATTATGAATTTCGTTCACCGGCCTCCGGGTCATTAGAATGTAAAATGTAGATGAAGATGCAAATGATCTCGGTTTAGGGCCCGTCATGGGTAACAGCTGGCGGTAATTGCGCCGTACGGCTGCTATTGTTTGTACAGCACTCTGGACAGTCTCGGCCGTCCGTGGGAGCCTTCACGTGTGGCCCATGCACGTTTCGAGACTGTACCTTTGCTGAAGGCTGAGTAACATATGCGTTATACGGTGTCCTTGATCTCGTAAATCCAGCACTTCCCAGCTCCATTAAGATTTTCCGCTCACATACGCACCAAAGGAATGTGTGAGAGGAAAGTTGTGTGTGTGTGTGTCTTTGTGTGTGTGCTAACCGGTTTCTAAGAACGGGTCAGGATCAGGTGCTATCTCGGGCAATATCTAACAGCTGACAAAGGGCTGCATGCTATTCAGACGAACGGTTAGTTTCTGGAAGGTCAACTTCTGAAGCCAGCCTCAAGCAAAGTGTCGAAACTGCCACTCACACCGTAACACCGATGTAGTTAACTGTTTCATAGTGCATCATCATGAGCAACAACTTCTGTTTCATTATATGTGCAACTTTGGAGAATCCATTGTTCTTCATTGAGCACATTAGACTGCTACTGCAAACCAAAGTCAGATCGCCTATACTCCGCGGCAGCTGTGCGGTATCACCCCAGCCCGTGCCATTGGCCGTCAGTCCGGGCCGGGATGCGGTGTTCTGCAGCACCCGTCCGTGCCGTGCCGGGCCGGTCCGCGGGCGGTGTGGGCAGCCGTGCAGTGTCGCTGGCTCGCTCCCCGGCCGCTGAGCCGCTGCGGCCCGGTGTGGGTGCGGGCCCGTCCGTGGGAGTGGCGGTCAGCTGTCAGGCTGCGCCGCTCGACCTACTGACCCGTGCTGTGACCCTGCCGGCCGGCCGGCTGCAGTCACTGTCACTGTGACCCACTGGTATATCCGTCCGGTCAGACTTGGTCGGTCGGCAGACGGAAGAGAGGAAGCGTTGTGTACCCGATGACACGGGTGCCGTATAGGTCGCGTAACACTGAGGAAAGTTGACACCAAAATGTGCCAAATATAGCGCAATGCTATCCGTAACCGCACATTGCTCAAGTTAATGAACAGTACCTTTTGTTATGACGCACACCATTAACGCATTGATTTATAGTGTCGCCGAGTCTGGGCCGGTCGTGCACCTCCTGTTTCGGTCGCTGACCTTTCAGTGTTGCTCGGATTAAAGCCATCAGGCCGTACATAAGGCGTTTCCCAGTCTGGCCAGGTTCCCGGATCTCCACCCATCAGCCGCCATTGTCGGGCGAGGTGCTGCACCCGGCCTCCGCCGGGCTGGGCCACTGTTTGTCTGGCTCCGGCCGGAGAGGGCCCTGTTCATTTCAGTGGTGTTAAATTTTCACGCCGTGATGACGCGGGCCCACTTACGTCACGCGATGCAGGAGTGGTGCGTAGTAATTGTGATTGTTGCTCTCACAAGCGGTCAGCCGGCCGGCCGGGTGTGCCCAGCGCCTGGCCTCGGCGTGACTTGTCATCGGCTGATCTCCCCTCCCCCTCCGCGCCTCCTCCCCACGCCTTGGCCACCTCCCACGGCCATTGCATAGAGGTGATGGCGTTGTAGACATGGGGGAGCTGATGCCGATTCCTGGAGATGCGCTGGGTTGGGTTTATTTGAGTAGCGTGGATGGGGAGAATTGTTTTGACACGCAGTCCGTACTGCGCAGTATTTTTGGCCGCCGTCAACGTACCGCGGCTCTGCTACTGTTACACAACGTTTTATTTATCCGATGGGTTCTTAAGAACTGTCTTTTGCAATTTTGTTTTGGTGACCCGGGTTGACCTCTGACCTTTTCGCTGCCCCTCGGCCCTCAGGTATCGACTGAGGAGGGTGAGAGGAAGGCCAAGGAGCTGAGCGTCATGTTCATCGAGACCAGTGCCAAGGCCGGCTACAACGTTAAACAGGTGAGCCAGCGCACCAGCACACCCGGTTTGGTGACGGTCATAAATGTATGCACACGCACGTGAACACAAAAGTTAAGCGTCGCAGCCTAACTTTGGCGTCGCTCATTTTTGTGTCGTGTTTTATTGGTAACACGCTACAGGGTTGGCTAGGCGGTTGTTTGGTTAGGTAGCGGTCCACCAGAGTGGAAGCCGGGCTGTGGACTGCAGGCTAGCCACTGCGGTGGGATGGTGAGCCTGTGGTCCCAGTCGGTCACACTCCACTGGCGATCCTGGGAATGTGACCGCAGACACCACGCCCTGTGGATGAATAGGTCGGACGGCCCGACAGACTGACAGACCGAGTCAGGGATGCTCCCAAGCGACGATGGCCACACTGACGCGAGAAAGGTCGGGAGGGCACGGTGAATCAGCTTCTTGATTTTTTTTTTTTGTGTGCTTGGATGAGGTTGTGATGGGCTCTTATTTGGATAGCGATAGCTCTTTTACAGGTATGTCGCCGATAGTATCACATTCCTGGCGACCAATGCTCCAATGGTCTCTTTATGTGCGATAAGCTCCTCTTACGTCGGCTTCAGATAACCTGAGCCATTAACTTACCATCTTACCTTCTTTACCATAACTTACCATCTTCACGTATGTATCACATCGGTGCAACCGGAACCAACACTGTGATGTGACATTGATCGCCTCGGAGTCGGGGGAGGGGGGGGGGGGGCATCAACGTAACCATTCCTAGACAACTAGGCTTTCCTGGCCCGTCTGTCTGCATGGGGGGATGCTGATGAGTGATGACTCACTGATTTGTGAATGAGACCATCCGGACGGACATTGAATGTAGTTCCGGCAGGCCGGCCAGACGACTCAGTGATATGATTTGTAACCGTGGTGGGTGCCGGGTGCGGTAAGAGAAAGTGGTTTGCTAACCGAATGTGCCGGATATAAAGGAGGCAGCTCTAAATGCAAAAACCGGCAGCTCTAAGCGGTCACATCCGGTCGGTTATGACGTTTGGTTATGACGAGCGACTATTCGGGACGCTGTTATGGGTAGCGTGTTTGCCGATCGGTCGGTCATCGAGTCCGAGGCGTGGCGTGTGACGTCACTGTTGACAATATGTATGACGTCATCGGTGACGAGTTCACTGTGTATGACGTCACACACTAGTCTGACGTCACCGTGTCGGTGTTTTCAGCTGTTCCGTCGGGTGGCCGCCGCGCTGCCAGGCATGGAGTCTTCAGAAACCAAGAAGGGCGACGACAGTATCCTTTTTAATCGCTGGTGGAGGTGGGAACTGTCCATGTTGGTTGGGTACTCTATGTTGGGCCGTTGTCTTAGGGTTGGTATTGATATGCTATTATTGGGTTTTATATCAAGAAGTACCATAAACAGTATACAGGGTGTACAGGGTGTAGTACAAGTTTTTTCTATCCCCTATCAAGAAGGTAGTAAAAAGAATCAAGAATTTTATCATAATCAATGTGTTCTTTTAACTTCCTTTGAAATGGTTCTTATTAAAGGGACCCTCCCACCTTAACATTAAATTTGAGTTGAGATAGCCAAAATGGGGTCCCTGGCTCACAATTACCGGTTTCGGCACTCACAACATCCAGAAATGCCTTAAATCGGAAATATTGAATTTCAAAATTGCAGCATTTTGATTCAGAGGGGCTAATGCATAGGAATACCCCTCTGAATATGTGACGTCAGCGCAGATATCTAACGATTTTTAAATGTTTGACTAAAACGTTTTGTAGCACGCGGTTGATATGCTGCTTTGCGCGCAACAAATGCCGCACTTTCAAATAAAGTCGCTTGGAACAACGGAGATCCCAAAAAGTAAACAATCGTAAAAGTCTAATATCTTGAAAACCAGTGAATATTTTTTTCGATGAAATTTGGTAGATATTCGTTTTCGCTCTTTCTGAACCGAGCGACATCACTTTCATGCCAATTCATTAACTTTTTTGAAGGTGGGAGGGTCCCTTTAAGTCTTCTTTTATTTTTGCTAAAAGCACAATCAAATAATTTGATCTCCGAAATGTAGTTAAAATTCCACACCCATGTCGCTGATCATTTTAAAATCAAACGTTTTACCGGCCGAATCTTTCATTCCCGAAATATCAATGCTAGGCTAGGCCATTGTTGGTATTGTTCCTGACAATATGGATGCATATTTATACGATTGTATTTTTGAGTAGTATTTTCATATCTTCATAAGCATCAGGTTGGCGGCACGCTTGACAAGAGGTCTTTTTTAGTAGTTTCCCCCGTATGGATGACAAATTTCCACTAATAAGCATTAAAAAGGTCCGCCGCGCATGCAGCTCTCCTCGCCGCTCTCTTTATCTAAATTTCCTACTTACTCTGTCGTTTGTTGACATTCTCTTGCGTCATCCGTTCCCTGTCGCTGAACTCGCCATTCACGTAACGCTTCTCGGCCCGACATTGTTCTCGGGGAGGGGGGGGGGGTCTTTTTCGCCGTGACTACCCGCGAAATGGAAACTTTTTGTTGGGTGTTTGTTTCAGTTGCGGAAAATTGTTGCTGCTTTATGTTTCTAACCTACTAACAAGCTAAAACGGATTTTTGTTGCGCTTTGAATGGTCTAGCTCTGTTGGTGTTGAAAGCTTGCTGTTTTTATTTTATTTTCATTTTGTGTGGATTTTTTTCTCCATAATTTCCTTATTTTTTGTTGAAACCTGCTGTTCTTGGGCCCTGTGATTTATAAATACTTTGTAATGATCGGCGTAGATCGATGCCTATCAGCGTTGATAATGGTCAATTCGCCCAGACGGGAAACCATTACTGGTATTCGGGCGTTCTGGTTCATAAGTAATTTATATGATGAACATCTGGGAACTCTTAACATGCCATCATAATATTCGACTATTCCTTAGGTGATAGCTGATAGTTCAGGGCTTGCGCTAAGTTTGAGCCTGGGTTTTTCCACGCCTGGCTGATTTATATCATTCGGATCATCATCACCCCGTTTATTACTCCAATGCACAAAACGATCATGAAAAACATCTGAGAATTGACACAAGAGCACGAAGTGCTTAATGCGGGGTACCAACTCTCAACTAAAGAAACAGAACATTATGGTCGAACGGATACACTATTGTTGGACCTTTTTACCTTGGGACACTATTGATTGGCTCACGTTCAGTCGGCTGTTCTTTCAGGAACTATCGATAATCGAGTTTCGTGAATGAGAAATGTTCAGAGGGCATCAAACACAAATGCAAAGCGTAGGTTATCTTTAGCCGGGTCATTGGGTTTTGGCAGTCTGGTCGTCGCCGGGCCGCAAAACTGGGCAGCCAATGTCGATATGCCATGGGACCATTTGCAGTTATGCTGTACCTGCCTTTCTCTGGAAAGGCCGGTTGCTGGGCTCAACGATGTGCGTAGGTCGCCCTGAATTTATGAATCCAACCTAGTTTTGCCCTGCATTGTTACAGTAATGGCTGCACCGGTTGTCTGGGGAAATTTGACACACATCGCACACCCGCCTAGTTTCGTTAAGCCTGTAGACTCTTCAGTCAGTTCAATGGAAATCTGTACATCGGAAGCACTCACTAATTATCTAGTTAGGAGAAGCACATGTTGCCAGCGATCAGTTTCAACATTAACTCGCACACCGCCATCCATTTGCAACTATGATGGGGTTTCACTAGCAGCTTTACATCCGTTGGGCTCACCGTATGTCCCAGCAAAGCCTTTCTTCAAACCGTCGGGGACAGTAAATGGTACCCACTTAATCCGTGCCAGAACACCCCCCCCCCTTTCTTCCCCGTCGGCAACAGTAGTTCTGTGGGACGGCGACCGCGGCCATCCGTAACAGCATGCCTCTCGGACTCTGTGGTTCGCGCGCCGACCGCTAGTCGGCGCTAGTGTTCGGTAAGTGGCGGCGGCGGTACCTTATTTCTTCTTTTGGCTCGTAGTTTTAGAGCAAACACTGCATGGCATGCTGCCTTCCTGCCTATCTTGTTTCTCTGTTCGTCCGTCTGTTCGCGGCCCTGCTCGTAGCATGTGCACGTCTGCTCGCGCACGCTGATTGCTGTTTGCGTGCTCGCGGTCCTGCCAGGAACGGAGAAAATGTGCGCGCGCTCACCGTTGGCAATTGTACCGGCAGGTAGCAATTGTCAACCGGTGTTCTGTGTACAACCAACTGCGGGTTTCATGGCTTCCAGGAAAAGCGTTGTTGCTCTAAAATGAGCTCTTTTGAGGTTCCTCATTTCAGTAGCGTCATTTCGGCAGATAATGTTCGTTTCTTTTATTCGCTGTGCGCAATGTCTTTGCACCTGCTGCTGACAGGACGGTTACCTACTTTTTAACTCGTATTTTTCGGAAGATAACCGGCCTCATGATGATCAGATAATTCATTACTTAAATTAAATCTGCTTTTGAGTTTATAAGCGCAGTGATATGCTCACTTCATAAATAGGTAGGTATAGCTGAGATCAGGGTAGTCGTGTCAGGTTATTAAATTGCTGCAATATGCGGGACCGGCACCATATTTTTAGTTTGCCCTTGAAAATTTGATGAACTCCCTTTGATGTCTCATATTTGTGAAGTTCTTAACATTTTGTCTTATATTTATAGTTACCACCGCAATGTTTGGTCTTCAGTGGCCTTTGTGCACTTTAGCCATTTGGCGTTCTGATTCCGTTTTCGACTCCTGTTGTGTTCTGATCTGCTTGTTCTGTTGATTTCCTTGATTTGCCGCTGTAGTGACCGAGGTGTACTTGGACAAAGATCCGAAGATCGATCTCACGCAGGGCAACGAGGGAGGATGCTCCTGCTGAGACTGCCACCTGTGGGCGGGATTGTCAACTTCAAGTGCACGAAACCGGCACTTTGGAATGCCTGTGGACAAAAGACGCTGTATGAACGATGCCCGAGCTTCTGGCATCGCCTGGTGAATGTGAATGAATGCTTATATGATTGTGTGGTACGCGCATGCGCGGAAGATTCCACTGCTGATGTCGGCTATTTTCTTATTTATTGCCAGGAGATCGATTGAGGTTAGTCGGTAATATTCGTGATAGAAGTCCCACTTATGGTATAACCAGCGTTCTGTTGTCAGTCTCGTAGACGGCTGCTCTCGATAGCTGTAGTGGGTTCGTTGCACTGAAATCATAAGCTAGTTGTCGTACGACAGTCAGGCTCCGCTGTGGGTCGCCCGGGTCTGGGCGGCCCGGCCGGCTGAGGGACTGACTGGTGTTCAGGGTAAGGGAATAGCTCGCGGTGTGCGTGTGTGAGAGAGCGCTGGCCGGGCGGCCTCCCGCCGCTGTGGAACGCTTCTGGCGGCTCGCCGGCCGGCCGTCCTGCATGTGCCGGCGTCACGTGCACGCGCCTTTGTCTGCCGCCCCTGTCCACTGCGTGCCAGTCCCGTCCACGCCGCCGCCGCCGCACTTTTGTAACAAATACAGATGTTTTATTCCTCAGCCCGGCTTGTTGTGCTGTCCGAGCCCGCGAACGGCGCTAGCATGCGCGCCCCTGGCGGCCGCCGCCCGAACTACAGAGCGACCGAGATGTGATGAGCAGAAAGGACAGGGAATGTTCGGCGATCGTCAAACGCAGACCCTGATAAACGAACTGCCAAACGGGGTGGGCATTTACTTGGTGGAAAAAGGAGCTACTCAGCCGATAAAAGAGGTGGAGGTCAAGTGGATAAGAGCCTCTGGAATTACGATCATCCCATGAGAGGATACTTGCCCTTGGTATCTAGCGTTCATTTTTACAGCTTTTTGGGAAAACATGCATACATGGAGTTGACCAATATTGTTCATTCTGCTTTAACAACAGTTGACTAGTGCAGTTGGTGGTGGCTCAACACTAATTGCAAAACTAATCAGCCTTACAAATAACGCGGTGCACCATTTATATCCATTCTTACACTGGTTATGGTCACCCAGGGCCAGGAGGTTGTTTCTGTTTCATATGTTCAAAGTCCCACAATAACAGGTGCACGGCCACTGAAAGCTATGGGTGGGTGGCGGTGACATATTACATGCTCTCACTTGACATTGGCAACGAAGAACGAAAGGATGGGATGGCATGAGTCACGGCTACGGGTTAACCCGCGCCCGGCTGGGGGTCCTGGATTTCCACGCCCTGCTGGGGGGGGGGTGTTTGAACACCCCCCCTTCTAACTCGGCTCCTGGGCCACGTAGCGACACGCGGAAGGCGGCGTTCGAAAGAGCGTCAAAAATAATGAGGAAATCACTTCAGTCAATTTTTTGGTCAGGTCAAAGGTCA